CAATAATAGAAGATACTTCTGTAATGTCTTTGGTCTAAACACCTGGCAAGCATTAGCTTATTTATTTGTTTATTTTTCACAGCTCTTCAAAGTGTGTTCTCTACTATTCTTATTCTCTCTCTCTCTCTCTCTCTCTCTCTCTCTCTCTCTCTCTGTGTGTGTGTGTGTGTGTGTGTTGAGGAATGTGTCCAGGATCAGAGCTGATAAGGAGGGATCTGAAGCTTCAACTAATCAGTCTGACTGCCCTTCACGACAATGTCATAATGTCAAATGAAAAACACTAGGCAATCAAAACTGTATGTTGAGCCGATTCTTAAATATTATGGACCCTAATTGCTAGTCTGATGATGTTTGTATCAGGGCTCCATCTCTAAATCAAATACCTAAAGCTAACTTCAAAGAAGAAAGTGCTCATTTTCCTGTATAGTTTGGATATCTGGGTCCATTGGATGTCTGTCCCACTGGCCAGGCAGAACACTGTGGCAAGTGGAGTATGGCGGACCAACGAGGCTTTACTCATGGAGGCTGGGTAGCAAAGAAATTGAAGAAGGCCCAGGATCCCAATATACTCTTCAGTGAGACACTCCAATGATCTTGTTGTTTCCCAGCAGACCCTACCTACCCCCTAAAGGTTTTATCACCTCCGAATGGCATCATGTGCTGAGAACCCAGACTCCAGGGTGTGGGCCTTTGGAGGACAGTTGACAACCCAAACCTACTCCCCATATTCATGCGTTGAAATCCTAATTCCCAGGTTCAGTAGTTTTAGGAAGTAATTAGCTCCCATGAAAAGTAGAACCCCTGTGGAATCTGACTATACCTTATAAAAGAGGCCCTTGGGAAGTCATTCTGCAGTCTCACCTGTCAGTGTGGAAGCATCCCTACACAGAGAGCAGAAGTACCAGCATCTAGACTGTGAACTATCCAGCCTCCGCAAGAGTGAGGGTTCTATTGTTATGATGTGTGACATAGGGTGTTTTGCTACAATACCTGAAATAGGTTCGGATACTAGGTTTTTCTCATGGTCTCCTTTATGGCTGCTAAGAAATCGTTATTTAAATTTAGCAACATTACCAACTGCTGAAATGATTATCTTCTTTTCCTCATTAGTAACGTAATACTTTTCCTGTTAAGAGAGTGAAAAGTACCCACGGCTTTCATATAATAGAGTACTTACGTTTATTGGCGGATACATTTTATGACTAGTCATATTACCATCAACCTCTAAGATTAGGAGGGCAGTTTTAATGTTCTTTTTTTTAATGGGTTGGCCTGGGAGAAGAAAAAGGCAAAACCAAAAGCAAGGCTAACAATGCCCAGCAGAAACATGTCAACTGAAGCCCTTGGGGCAGAGGAAGCCTGGCAGAGTGCACCTTCTTTGCAAAGAATTTCAAAATACAAGGAAGTTAGAAGTATATTAATTTATAGAAAACAAACATAAGAAGCAAAGTAATTCATAGACAACAAACACATCTTTCACAGATAATGCTGTTGTTCAATTTTACACCATGTGCTTTGCCATTCTTTCTGTGGGTGTGTATGTATGCACACGCAAACACACTCACACATTGTTCTGAACATGTGAAGCTGAATCACATTCACATGCCCAATACCCAAAATATCATATATTTTCCAAGACTAGAGAGAGTCTTTCCTGCAATGACAGTTCACTCTAATGTAACCCCTGTGTGTACTCTAATCCACAGGCTGACCTCATGTTCTTTGAAGCATATGCAAGACACAACCAGGATCCTTCCCTGCGTATGGCTGCCGTGTATTTTCAGTATAATGTAATCTGGAAATTTCCACGACATTTTTCTTTTTTTTAATTTATATTTTATGACATTGACATTTTTGTTCTTTATTTTCTTCTTATTTATTGATTTTTATTGAGCTCTATCTACATTTTTCTCTGCTCCCCTCCTCCCTTCAACCCTCCCACAAAGTCCCCATGCTCCCAATTTACTCAGGAGATCTTGTCTTTTTCTACTTTCTACTTCCCATGTAGATTAGATCTATGTAAGTCTCTCTTAGTGTCCTCATTGTTGTCTAAGTTCTCTGGGATTGTGGTTTGTAGGCTGGCTTTCTTTGCTTTGTGTTTAAAAAATACCTATGAGTGAGTACATGTGATAACTGTCTTTCTGTGTCTGGGTTACCTCACTCAATATGATGTTTTCTAGCTCCATCCATTTTCCTGCAAAATTTAAGATGTCAGTGTTTTTTTTTCTGCTGTGTAGTACTCCATTGTGCAAATGTACCACATTTTCATTAGCCATTCTTCGGTCGGGGGGTATTTAGGTTGTTTCCGGGTTCCGGCTATGACAAACAAAGCTGCTATGAACATAGCTGAGCATATGTCCTTGTGATATGATTCAGCATCCTTTGGATATATACCCAAAAGTGGTATTGCTGGGTCTTGAGGAAGGTTTTTTTTCTAATTTTCTGAGAAATCGCCACACTGACATCCAAAGAGGTTGTACCAGTTTGCACTCCCACCAGCAATGCAGAAGTGTTCCCTTTACCCCACATCCTCTCCAGCATAAGTTGTCACCAGCGTTTTTGATCTTGGCCATTCTTACAGGTATAAGATGGAATCTCAGAGTTGTTTTGATTTGCATTTCTCTGATGACTAAGGATGTTGGACATTTCCTTAAGTGTCTTTCAGCCATTTTAGATTTCTCTGTTGAGAGTTCTCTGTTTAGGTCTGTATTCCATTTTTTTAAATTGGATTATGTGTTCTTTTGATAACGAATTTCTTGAGTTCTTTGTACATTTTGGAGATCAACCCTCTGTCTAATGTGGGGTTAGTGAAGATCTTTTCCCATTCTGTAGGCTGTCATTTTGTTTTGTTGACTGTGTCCTTTGCTTTACAGAAGCTTTTCAGTTTCAGGAGGTCCCATTTATTAATTGTTTTTCTCAGTGTACATGCAGTCTGCGGTACATGCACTCTGCAGTTCATGCATTCTGTGTTTCTTTCCCATCTTCTATCTACCATCTATCATCGAGCCACAATATCAGCACAGAGTCTTGAATTATTCTTTTTCCCAGTGGTTTAAAATTCATGATGATAATTTATAAATTTATGATTTCTTAATGATTCTTAAACTTGTGATTTTATCAAGTATTTTGCACCCAAATTGTCCCAAGTTTGGGGAAGTTTCTTTGGGTTCAGGTAATACACTTCTCTCATTTCTTTGATTATTTTTGATTTTAGTGTATAAAAATGTTTAAATCTTAGCTGGGTGGTGGTGGCCCAGCACTCGGGAGGCAGAGAAACCCTGTCTCGAAAAACAAAACACAAATAGTTAAAATCTCACTGAGTACTACTCTGTCTTTATGTGGAATCAGCCATTCCTTTTAGTGAGAAATGACATCAAGCAAAAAGCTCGGAGTGCTAAGCGTACTTATGTGTCTGGGGTATCTGTACTTCTCGCTCTTTGGGGAAACAAAACCAGAAGACCCAAGCATGCAAACATACATCAGGTATGTGCTTATATCATACACATACAAGTGTAGTTGTGTTTGTACAATTGTACCTATTTATAAACACACACACAGCTTGGAGATTGTATTAGTCCCTGTGACAAAACACCCGGTCTAAACAACAGGAGGGAGGGTTGCTGTGGCTGGTAGCTTCGGAGATCAGAATTCCAAAGGCTCGGTTAGTTACCTACATTGGTTCTGGGCCTGTGGTCCACGAAGCATGATCACACCCAATCTATATAGCAGAGGTAAACTCGTTGAAGGTAGGGGGCATAAAAAGAGGGAGGGGCCTGGGGCAACCTTCAAAGGCATGCCCGCAGTGATCTACTTCCTCCATGTAGACCCCACCTGCTAACGTTTTTAACATCACCAAAATAGTCCCACCAGTTAGGGGGTCAAGACTTTAACATGTGTGACTGTAAGGGACATCTCTATTCACAGCATGATGGAAACCATGGGTTTACACTGATCGCTTTGCATTTATTCATGGATTTTCCTGTCTTTCCTCATTTGTGTGTGTGTGTGTGTGTGTGTGTGTGTGTGTATAGATAGATAGATAGATAAATAGATGATAGATAGATAGATATATGATAGATAGATAGATAGATGATAGATAGATGATAGATAGATGATTAATAGATGATAGATAGATAGATGATAGATAGATAGATAGATAGATAGATAGATAGATAGATAGATGATAGATAGATAATAGATAGGTAGATGATAGATAGATAGATAGATAGATAGATAGATAGATAGATGATAGATAGATAATAGATAGGTAGATGATAGATAGATAGATAGATGATAGATAGATAGATAGATTGATTGATGATAGATAGATAGATAGATAGATAGATAGATAGATAGATAGATGATAGATAGATAGATAGATAGAAAGATACCTTCTTCCACCTTGAACATTTGATTGCCATGAACATTCGCATAATTCTCATTTACTCAATTATACATTAATTTCATTCTTATATAAGCACAGTGGCTTCTCATTCTTGAATATCATGAATTACTGAATTCATTAATTTTACGACTACCAAACACAAAAGAGGCCATATGCTCATCAAATCTTGTATGAGAATGTAGCAGCTTTTATTTACCATATACAAACATGGGTTATAACCCAATTGTCTCAATAGAAAGATGGATTACCAAAATGATACAGTTATACAATGAAATAATACTCATCAATAAAAAGGAACAAATTACTACTACACATAACAATCTGGATGAACATGAAAAACATCGTGCTAGGTTTTAAAATGGAAACAGAATGAATGTATGAGGTCTGGTTCTATTTTAGGCAAAGCTAATCCAGCACCACATCAGCACCATCGTGCTTCTGGTGGGTGAGACAAAACAAGATTTGGAGGGGGACGAGGAAGCTTTCTAAGATTAAGGACATGTGTTTATCTTGGTCAGGATGTGAGCTATGTAGGTGCCTACACTTGTCATCCTACATTCGATTGCTGTGGTAGCCGTGCATCCCATTGCCTGTACATTGTGAAACTTTGGCCGAAATGGAATGGAGGTGGCTCCTATTGGCTGAAAGTAGAGCCCCCCAGTTTAAAACAGCTCATCCCCTTGTTTTGTTTTCTTTGTGGTTCCCCTGCCTCATACATTTCCAGGCCCCTGGAGACATTTATCACTGCCCAGATCAATATTCTTACTTTGCTTTAGTATTGATTACTTCTTTTCAAACAGTATGAGCGCAGCCTAGGCTGTCACTTAGCAGGCAGTGATTTTCATGGACTATTTGTGCCTGGTCAATACAGAAGGATTAACATAGTAAGACACGGATGAAATGGAAAATGTCTAAATTAACAAAGTTAGGTTAATTCTCAACTGAAACATTTACCTATAGAACATATCAGGACAAATGCAAAACCAGACAAGTCAGCTGCAGGGTCCTCGGGTCTCACTGAATGATTCCCAGTCTTAGGTGGGGAAGCACCAGTTGAATGATGCAGCGATTTTCTCAGACCTTCTCATAAATTCTGGTGCAGACCACGCCCTTCATCATGCATTCCTTAAGAGAGGGAGATTGACTGTGTAAAATACAAGTTAGAGAACAGGACATCTGGAATAAAACAGCGGTCTAAATGAACTCATACAATCACATTTAGACAGGATAAAACATTCACACGCCAGCTCTCTAGCAGTTCACAATTATGGCCACTGGCATTTGAGGACAACTTTTAAGGTTGATCTGTGTTACTATCCATGATATATCCAGTAATGATGCTTAATGTTGGTAGCCAGCTTTGTGGGAGCTGGAGTCCTCACAAAGATAAAATAAAACTTTATGTGTGAAGGAGTGTCTGTGTTGGGTAACTGAGGTAAGAAGACCTGAAGACTGGGCACAGGCCACATTAGCGAAGTGCTGTTCCATGGACCATGGCCTAGACTAAGGCAGAAGAGGTGAGCTGGATTCTAGTGTTCATCTGTCCTTGCTTCCCGATATTCAGGACAAACTTCCTCAAGTGCCTGGTCTCCTGTCTCCCCGGACATGATAGACAGTATCTCCTCTCACCATAGGTCAAAATCCTGCTGGTCTTTGGCATCTGGCTTCAGTGTGGACAGGACTTACCTTGGGTATTGCAAACCCCTTAGCAGAGAAAGACTAAGAGCTGGGTGAGAAGGAGGACATATACTGGAGTCATGTGTCGTAAAGAGTTTAGAGAAAGAAGACTTTTATTGACATTGTGTAGTGCTCGTAAGAAAAAAGGAATTAAGGTTGCTTCTTCTGGACTAACAGCTTTCTTACAATTTGTACGATGATGTAGTCCTTGGCTACTTAGACTTGGGGACACGGGATAAGGTGAGTAGAGACAGTCAACACTGCACCACGTTTCAAGAGTCTGAGAGCATGCCAGTGGAAACTTGTTCTCTCTGTAATGTCACACCAGGCCCTTGACGCTAAATTGTAAACTGCACCCGGCGATGACCCACCTCTGCCTCTGGCTCCTCCACCGTGTGAAGAGATGGATGCTTTCGTTAAAATGTCATGGGTCAAAGCAAAATACCTTTTATGTTTCCCAGGCTCATGTTGTCTCTATAGTTTAAAGCTTAAAAAAGTGATAAGAAAGTGATTTAAGGTATATTTTTTTTTAAAAAACCTGCAATGTTGCTTATGGTTTAAAATGTATATAATTTGCAACAAAATTTGGCTTTAACATATAACAAAAAAACTTATAATTAAAATTCTATACATGGGTGTATATATACATGTGTGTATGTACACGTGTGTATATGTGCGTTTGTGTGTGTGAGTTTGTGTGCGTGTGTGATATTCAGTTCTTTTTTAGGGTGTGTGTGTGTGTGTGTGTGTATAACTTAGATTATCATAGTCTGGTTCAACAGGACCCCAATAGTCTCCATCCAGGGCAAATAGTGAGACATTGCCCACCACTTGCTTCTAGTTTGTTGTTGGAAGTTTTCGCCTGTATTTTGTGTATGTGGATTGGTCTATGTTTTCTGGCATGTCTGTAAGTTTTGTTGTAAGCATGGAGCTGAGACTGAAGTATCTCTGCTGCCACAATCTCTGAGATCACTGGTCACTGGATTCAGCTTGGCAGGGGTTCAGACATCTTTTTTGTGTGGATAACATTACTTAAAGTTTCCTCTGTGACCTGTGTCAGATTGATCCACCTGACATTGATGGGGAAAAGGAAGCAAAGTAGAACAGCCAAAAAATTAGACTTGGTTTATGTAAACATTCTGTTCCTCAAGACTTAAAAGTTTATTGAATATGGTTTAAAAATTGTAAAATCTAGTTTTTTTAAAGATTAAAACTAGTAACACTGAGGGGTTGATAGTCTAAAATCTATGTATAGGAATCTTAAAAGAACCGTGTGGCCTGATCCCATCTTTAGGCAGCCATTTGACTGGTCACCATCACTGCTAGGGTTAGAGAAGATGGATGTCATGTGACTTCACTGCCATCGTAATGAAAGGTGACCCTGTGGAGTGCGACTACCAAAAAGACACCAGCAGGTCTCCGAGATATTTTCGATTAGGATAGATTTTTGTGTGATAATTCCTTTCCTGCAAACAAGGTTTACAAAAGATGGGATTTAAAAAACAAAGTTTAATAAGGCATCAAACTACACCTCCATGCATTTATATGCAAGACTGTACAAAGCCAGAGTTGATAACACTAAGTGTCCCCCAGGTAAAGTTGGATTTAAGACATGAGGGGTCATAGGGAAGCAGCTGCAAGGGTGAACCTTACCAGTTTCAGAGATGCTGGATCCATGATTGGCACCAGAAGCCCCAGCCACAGTTAAATAGAGCGAGCTGGGACCTGGAAGGTAGGCTATGAAATGTGGCCCAGGTTGAGTCCAGAGAGGAGACCCAAACCCCTGGAAAAGATTGTTCCCTCTGTTGGAGCTAGGTTCTGCCTTGGGTGGGTTACCTCTTGGAATAAAATAGAGTACTTTACTTCTGAGAGATTGTACACTTTTTAAAGAAAAAAGTGGAGTTTTACAGACATTTAAATTATAAAAACACACTGGGAAACATTTAGATTTTGAACAGTTTTAGTTTAGAAAACCTTTTATCACAATGTCTTTATGCAATCTTGGGAGACAGTTTGCTTTTTTTTTTTTTTTTTTTTTTTGGTTTTTCGAGACAGGGTTTCTCTGTGGTTTTGGAGCCTGTCCTGGAACTAGCTCTTGTAGACCAGGCTGGTCTCGAACTCACAGAGATCCGCCTGCCTCTGCCTCCCGAGTGCTGGGATTAAAGGCGTGTACAGTTTGCTTTTTGAAGCAGCAAGCGCCCCACTCCTTTCTCCCAAGGTGTCAGCTGCCTTCCCATTTCCCTACACTCAAAGACTCAGGCCTAAGGCCTCCCTTTCCTAGAGCTACCAAACAGTTTACCTTGCTACCATACTCAAAAAAGAGATAAACTCACAAAACAGATTTCAACAAAACTTTTTACTATTCCTTTATTTACAGAAATTCACTTTACCATGACTGCTCTGTGTCTTGAAGTGAGTGATTGAAAGAGTAAGGTGTGAAGTTTATGTAAGGTCTCAGGACAAGAAAGCTTAAGTTATGAGGCTCTAAAAAAATTGTTTTAGGGTTCTAATATGGTGTTTTACAGTGTGTATAAAGGTTTGAGGACATAAAAAAATAAAGATGTGTTTCCAGGTACGTGGATGCAATTTGTGAAGGTATGAGAAAGACGATGGCTTTAAGGTTTATGGAAAACGGCTCAGAATTCTTTCACTCTCTATGCTGTTGTTACATTAAGACTGAAAATCCAGAGTTTTAGCATTAACCAACGGAATTCTGATAAACTGTTACTCTAGCTCCAGTAAAGCATAGCTCCTATTCAGTCACAAGCTCAAGATTTTACATTTCTTTTGGTGGTTTTCTAAATGTAGACTTAAAAGTGCTTTTTGTTGTGCTAAAGGCATCTGTCTAATCTACATACTCAGTCTTCTAACAGGTTCTTATAGGCTTCAGGAAACTGCTTGGATCTACCTCACAGGTCATATGAACTACAGATTAGGTACTGTCAATCAGTGGCCTATTTCCCCACCTGCCTATTCCTGAGGGAGTGGGAATTCCCCCCTTCCCTGGTCCTGGGGCTTCCTTCCCCCAGCTATCAGGACCATGGAGCTAGAAGTTTCCATTGTACACCTAGCTCTAGACGGTGGAGCGGAGCCTGAAGAAAAAGGGATTTGGTCAACATCCCACCTATGCCCCAGCATCATCAGGAAGTAGTCACAGATGAATTCTTTGTTCCTTATCATTCATTTATTATCAACAAAAAGGCTGGGACTTGCTAAATTTCAAACCTGGAACAGAGGTGCCTGTTTAACATTTCAAATCAAAGCTGGACCTGGCTGCCAGGTTATCCCAGCACCCTTCAGTCCCTTGCTGTTTGTTATAGGGTGTGACCACATACCCAACCTTCTTCCCTGGACTCTCCAGCCCAAGGCTGGGTTGCCTTCCCTGCAGAGGCTTTCCCCTATATAATCCAGACATTTTGGTTGCAGACCTTACATGGCCAAATTACTGTAATTATTCATGGTGTTACAATCTCCCTTGGCTTCTGCATGAAAAGATTTTTAAATTTCTTAAATTCCTTTTTCGCAGAAGGAACCTTTTCATCATTTATTATAAATTTGAGCATTGTTCTAGACTTTGTGCTCATTCTTATCCTTCTTCTTCCTGTCATTCTCTGGTGACTGACAAGCCTATTTGATCTCTTCATCATAGTTTCTAGATGTCTAAATTACAAAATTAAAAAAAAAAAGAGGAGATGCCATGGGCCACATAATGACCATTACTGTTTGACAAAGTTCCAGCATTTCAACATTAGCCCACACTTCCCCAGTACTTTTTAACTTTCATTTTTAAAGATTCTCACTAGCAATGTCTTCCCCCTTTGGAAAAATTTGTGCAGGTTTTGAAGGATGAAAATGTATACAATGGTAGCCTCTCTCTAAACAAAATAATTCTCTGGAGAGAATTCCCTGCCACAATGGAAGCAGGAATCCCATTGTGCCCTCCTAATTACACCAAGTGCAGGAAGGTTAGAGATTTACTAGACGTGTTTGATCTAGGATGAGATGCCTACAATTCAGATCCAGAGTCTGAGGCCACTGAGGGCAAGGGTTCAGTTAAGAAGTGTAGAGAAACCAGAATGGAATGTTATAATGGGAAAAGAGTAAGACACCAGGACCTTCTCTTTCAGGAGTGTGGTGAGGGGACAGGCCTGTGTAGTATGATTAAGACACAGACACATTTAGGGAACAGCTCAGGGCTTATCCCCGTGAGGAACGAAAGTTGTTCTTAAGTTACAGTGTAACATCTGCTCCCTAGAAGTCCTTTTCCCAAGGTCAGGCATTTAGATAAGGATCTCCACTCCTTTGGGGCTTGAGGAAAGTTCCTGCTTACTAAAGCAGTCATTCTCCTTATCTCTGGCAAGAAAAATTTAATTTCCCTTCATTAACATATGACTGTTGTCAAAGTCAATGCTAGATTCCTCAATCCCTGATCTTGTCACACCCCAGCTCAGTGCTCCCGTTCTCCCACCCAATCCTATGTGCAAATCTAAAATATAAAAGACATATTCCTTTTTCAATAAACACAGCTGGCAACCATCCTGATTCACCCTGAGATTGTGTCCAGTCCCTGGTTCTTGTCGTCCCCCCTCCCACTCCACAGTCCTCTTTGGGACTTGAGCCCCCGCCTAAGCAGGTCTCTGGCATAGTTCTTTTTTCTGAAGATACTTTTTAGTATTTTGCTCACAAGGAGAATAGCGACAAATAAAAAATGATTTTTTACATTTGCCTTATCCAGTGAGTGGTTAAATAAACTCCCTAAGAGGTTCTGATTGATTGATCTATAATGGGCCCTCATGTTGGAACTGTCTGCCCAGGTAAATTTAGTGCATAGCGAGAACTAAGAACCACACACTAGCCCGGCTGTGGTGGCGCACGCCTTTAATCCCAGCACTTGGGAGGTGGAGGCAGGCGGATCTCTGTGAGTTCGAGACCAGTCTACAAGAGCTAGTTCCAGGACAGGAACCAAAACCACAGAGAAACCCTGTCTCGAAAAAAGCAAAAAAAAAAAAAAAAAAAAAAAAAAGAAGCACACACTGAGAGAGTGAGAGAGATAGCAGAAACATTGGAGGATTGTGTGTGCCATTAGTGAGCACAGAGACACAGGCTTCAGTCCTTCCAGTCCATCTTGACTCTTTTTCCTCGGATCTGCTAACTGAAGGAGGTCTTCGCTTAGATTGCATTTTTTACATTGTTTAGGTAAGTTCCTATGGACTATTGGAAGCAAAGTACTTTTACTGCAAATATTCTATAATTGAGCCTCTCAGGGTTATATTTTACTTTTGAAGTATACTTTTTTTTTTGCTTGTAAGCCCAAACAAGTGACATTTATCCATATTTTCAATATTGTTTAAATGTTATTGTTTTGATACGGCTGCTTGGAAATCTTGAACTAACACTTAATGGACTTAAATGTGAATCCTTTATTGTTTTCCAGTTAAGCATTAACTCTGGCTTTATTCTTAGCATTATGGTCCATTTGTAGTCTAAAGAACAAGGGACATTTTGAGACAAGCATAATCAATGTATTTATGTAGTTTTATTTCTGTCCCGAAAATTGGGGATGTTCTTATTAATCATCTCAACTCCCCGATGCCCACAAAATCAGCAACGACGCCAACAAAATCAGCAGTCACGCAGATGACACAGATGACCGGCTCACACATGCGCGCAAGGGCTTAGCTGAGTCATACGTGGACGTAACCACGCATGCACGCACATGGGTCACACAGGACTCTAACATTCGGGCACTTCTGCCTGAGGGCTTGTTCCCACATGCGTAGCTCTAGAACCTGGAAGTATCGGCCTATGTGGCTGAGATCTTACACTTACCACGACCATTTTCCCGTCCAGCAGCTTCCTCTTTATGGTTGTCTCTTTACTGTTCCATCTCTGCACTTGTTGCAGGGCTCCCCTCTCCAGCGTCACGATGCTCTGCAAAGACAAGTTCAAGGTTAGCTCACCTCAGTTTGCATGTCAGATGTCTCAATACATCATGTTCATTCCCCACTGCCTATAATCCTAGAAAAAATAATCCTGTCTCTCGATAGTTGACTGGACCAAGTTTCAGGACAAATATTACACATTACCTTGGTTTTTCTGTTGTCAGCTGTGGTTTCTTCAAACTCCTGGCCCAGCTTGAAGGAGATCTCTGTGTTTTTAAAGGCGCTTTCTGTTCTTATCGTCATATAATCCCCCTTCTTGCTGATGACCACAGTGGGCTTGGCCAAATTTCCCAGTTTTCTGTTGGCTAACCCCACACCTGAAAAGCAAGGCAATATCAGATTGTGGGAGTCAAGACAACATATGTAAGGGACAATGGTGGTCACATTCTGTATTTAGCAGTACCTTCAATGAGTAGATGGCAGGGTTTCCTACCAAGGACTTCCTCCATGTTTCAACAGTGAGCAGAGAAACATGTTGGTGACGCAAGCATTTTAGTGTAGTGCTCAGCAGTGGCGTCTACAGAGTTTACAGCGCAAACGCTGTTCAGTTTTGCCCACTTTGCTATGCCCAATGCTACCCTCACCACAGAATAAATCACTTCTGTTCCATATAAGCTTAAAAACAGCTTAGTTTGTAATTACAAACATAGCTGTTTTCAATGAGACGATCTCTCTTCTCCTCCAGCCCCCCCCCCCACTGGTCTATATTTTCTGTCAATAAGGAGCTATGGCCATAGTGAAACCCTCCTTTTTATATCCTTGATTGAATCTTATTTCTGACATTTTGTAGTTCCTAAATCTTCCTGGTGAAAAAACAAAATAAAAGAAACTGTCCATCACCCTTTTCTGTCTGTGGACACTGTTCCAACACAGCATTAGTGTGACTGAATTTGAACTCACTGCCGCCGACCAGTTCTTTTGATCTCAGCCACTTTTAAATGTTACACACGTCCTCACCTAGGGGCTGCTTCATTTCTCAAGCTTCACCCACATGATTATTTAATAATGGACAAACTCAAAGCAAATAAAAAAAGAATCTTTAGTTTGTATAAAGATTGAAATTTAAAATTGCGGTTTCTAGTATTCAACTCTTTATCTTATGAGCCTACTCATTTCTGATAAACCAGCTTTCACAAAATCCCAGCATATGGATGGACTAAAATTCTAATATTTTCCCCAACTCTCCAAAGACAAGCCTGTGAAACTGCCTTCCGGTCCCATGCATTTAAATAGCTTCATTTAAGTTAAGTTCTGATAATTTACTGCCAATGAGGTGGAAGTAAATTTCATGAACGACACAGAAGATCGCACTTCATCCCACATGACATTCCCTAGACAGCCGGAAAAAAAGCGTTAGAAGAAAACCTCTTGCATCTTTCTTTAAAGGGGTGTTTGCCATGGAGGGTTTCTCACCCAGAGCTTTCATGTAGTCATCAAAATGCTCACTGGAGACAAGTTTCCAGGTGCCCAGAAATTTGTTGCTCATTGCGATGGATGAGAATTCAGCGCAGTTCCTGATGGGATGCAGCAGATGCCCCTGGGATGCTGAGACCTTGCACAGTACTTTTCAAAGACACCCAAAGCATGTGACTTTTGCTGAGACCCAATGGGGAAAGGTGGTGATAGGACTGGGCAATGAACGGCTCTTAAGTCATAAACTGCCTACCCATGGGAAAAGAAACCCCTACATAATGTCCCTGTGTTTCCACAACCATGAAAATAACTGAAAGTATTGTTTGAACCTTCAGAATATTCTTTTGGTTGATCTTACATTGATATGAGTGCTTAAGTCCTTCTATGCATTATATGCTTGTGTATCTCTGTGTGTGTGTGTGTGTGTGTGTGTGTGTGTGTGTGTGCATGCCCATACATGAGTACATTTGAGTGCACTTGCATGTGTGTAGGCATCTTGGTGACTCTTAATTTAGCACAATTAAGATTTCTTAAAAGAAAGAAAAAGTCTGTGAACATTGTCATAAAAGGCTCAAATATGCTGTGGGAGAGAAATGGAGGGCCGCACTGTGAGGACAAATTCAGAGGTGAGGGAGGCTTGGCATAGTTTTCATATTCTGGCAGGCTGAGTAGGCAGACAAGAAGGTCAGTCTGTCACAGTTGAGCACAGAAGATGCATTCATACATCAGGATGAGAAGCAGCCCTGTAGCTCCTTTAAAAAAGCTAACCTGGAGACAATAAATTCTTAGTTTCTATAACAACTTTGGATTTAAGACATTTAACAAAAATCTAGAGATAAATAAAGAGATGATTTCCCACAATATAATGTCAATGGATGCTGAGAGTTTAGTATTGAATGGCCCCCATGGAATGTGCTTAGTTCAGATTGCCTCATTTCATCCTCTCAGCACCATAAGAGACACATACTGTTGTTAATGACCAGCTTGACAATAAGGAAAACTGCATCTTGAAGCAAGGAAATTTATTCCCAAAAGTAAACTGTAAGTCTGGATTTAAGTTAGCATTGTTCCCCAGTGTTAAACTCAGATTCTGAACTAGTATCTCCCCATTCTACAAAACAACAACAACATGCGCACACACATACATACACATATACACACATATACACATACGCGCATACGTGTACAGATCCTGACTAACATTCAGAGATCTTAATATGCCATGGCTGTTTAGCAGTGCTCTCTATTGTGCGCTCCCCCCCCCCCCTTTCAATATCAGACAATCAAGTGAACCAGGTGACATATCAGAACCCCAGTCGTTGACCAGTGGGAAAAAATGTCAATCTAGTTCATATGTAAGTCTTGTTCCCAGTAATGGCTGCATGGCTCCCATGCCTTGCTACCAGGTTTTCTATACTAACATTAATTCTGGCTGAGTAACAACTATTAGCACTGGATTTTACATTTTCAGCACACAAGTCAGCAGTGCTCACAACTCTGGAACTAAATATTCCACAACCATTTCACTTCTAACAGATAGAATCCTTGGCTTTGAAGGCTCGGGTCCCCAGTACTATAGCTGAATTGTCTATTGCAACCACGTGGCTCGGCATCAAGCTGACTGAGAAACGAGGCATCACATACAGTGAGCCAGGCCGCATCTTCCATGGCCAGTGTCTGGTAAATTCAGCAGGGAAACAACAGTGAAAAGGAAATTTCCTTAGCCTATCCACTTCCAAACCCAAGGCAGTGTAAGTGGAGAAAGTTTGCTGTATTGGGATAGAAACAAACCAGGATGAAAAGAGGCATTATGGAAGGCTAAGTCAGGAAATTCAAGGCCATTAGGATACACAGTGAGACTCTGTCTTAAACAGCAACAGTGAAGGGCACTCATATAACGAATATGAAATTTCTTTTATTACCTCAGAGTAAAGGGTTGGGAAAATTTTTCTGATCAAATGGACCTAAGAAACAAGCGGATGTAGTTATCCTAATATCTAACAAATAGACTTCAAGTGAAAATCAATCAAAAGACACAAAGAAGGACATTTCATATTAGTCACAAGAAAAATCCATCAAGAGAAAATCTCAATACTAAACATCTATGCTCCAAAAACAAGGGTACCCTCATATGTAAAAGAAACACTTCTAAAGCTTAAATCATACATTAAACCCCACACACTAATAGTGGGAAACTTCATCACTCCCCTCGCACCACTGGACAGGTCAGTCAGACAACAAGTGAACAGAGAAATAAGGGAACTAACAGATGTTAGGACTCAAATGGACTTAACAGACATCTATAGAATATTCCGTCCAAACAGAAAAGAAAATACCTTCTTCTCAGCAACTCATGGAACCTTCTCAAAAATTGACCACATACTAGGTCACAAAGCAAACCTCAACAGATACAAAAAAATTGGAATGACCTCATGTATCTTACTAGATCATCATGACTTAAAATTAGAATTTAACAGCAATACTAATTTCAGAAAGCCCATAGACACATGGAAATTGAACAATGCTCAATTGAATCACCAATGGGTCAAGGAAGAAATAAAGGAAGAAATAAAGACTTCCTAAAATTTAATGAAAATAACCACAAAATGTACCTAAATTTATGGGGCACAATGAAAGCAGTGTTAAGAGGAAAATTCATTGCACTAAATGTCTACATAAAGAAGCTGGAAAAATCCCATACCAGTGAGTTAACAGAACACCTGAAAATTCTAGAACAAAAAGAAGCTAACTCACTGAGGAAAACTAGACAGCAGGAAACAATCAAATTGAGAGTGGAATTCAGCAAAATGGAAACAAAGAAAGCAATACAAAGAATCAATGAGACAACTATTTGGTTCTTTGAAAAAAATCAACAAAATAGATAAACCCTTATTCAAACTAACCAAAAGGCAGAGACAGAATATCCAAATTAACAATATCAGAAATGAAAATGGGGACATAACAACAAACATGGTGGAAATTCAGAGAACCATCAGGTCATATTTCAAAAACCTATACTCCACAAACATGGAAAATTTAAAGGAAGTGAATAGTTTTCTGGATAGATCAAAATTAAATGAAGAACAGATAAGCAAATTAAATATATGAATAACTGCCAAAGAAATAGAAACAGATATCAAAAGTCTCCCAACCAAAAAAAGCTCAAGACCAGATGGTTTCAGTACAGAATTCTTCAAGACTTTCAAAGAAGAACTAATACCAATACTCCTCTAATTGTTCCACACAAAAGAAACAGAATGAACATTGCCAAACCCTTTTTACGAAGCTACAATTACACTGATACCTAAACCACACAAAGATATTGCTAAGAAAGAGAATTACAGATAAACCTCACACATGAATATTAATTCAAAAATATTCAATGAAATACTAGCAAACCAAATCCAAGATCACATCAGAAAAATCATACACTATGATCAAGTCGGCTTCATCTCAGAGATGCAGGGATGATTCAACATACCAAAATCTGTCAATGGAATCCACCATATAAACAAACTGAAAAAAAGACAACACATGATCATCTCATTGGATGCTGAAAAAGTCTTTGACAAAAATACAACATCCCTTCATGATAAAGGTCTTGGAGAGAGCAGGGATACAAGGAACATACCTCAACAACATCAAACAGCCAACATCAAACAAAATGGAGAGAAACTCAAAGCAATCCCATTGAAGTCAGGAATAAGACAAGGTTGTCCACTCTCTCCATATCTCTTCAATATAGTACTTAAGTTTTAGTTATAGCAATGAGAAAACAAAAAGAGATGAAGGAGATATAAATCAAAAAAGAAGTCAAACTTCACTATTTGCTGATGACCTGATAGTTTACCTTATGACACCAAAAATTCTACCAAGGAACTTGTACAACTCATAAACACCTTCAGTAATGTAGCAGGATACAAGATTAGCTCAAAAAATTCAGTAGCCCTCCTTTACACAGATGATAAATAGACTGAGAAAGAAATCAGAGAATCATCACCCTTCACAACAGCCACAAATAAAATAAAATATCTTAGAGTAACTCTAGTAAAACAAGTGGAAGACCTGTATTACAGTAAGTTCAAATCTTTGAAGAAAGATATTGAAGAAGACACTAGAAAATGGAAGGATCTCCCAAGCTCTTGGATAGGTAGAATTAACATAGTAAAAATGTCAAACTTAACAAAAGCAATCTACAGATTCAATGCAATGCCCATCAAAATCTCAGCAAAATTCATCACAGACCTCAAAAGAACAATACTTAACTTCATATTGAAAAGTATAAAAACCAAGGATAGCCAAAACAACCCTGTACAATAAAGGATCTTCTGAAGGCATCATAATCTCTGACTCAAACTCTACTACAGAGCTACAGTACTGAAAACAGCCTGGCATTGGCATAAAAACAAACAGGAGGATCAATGAAACCAAATCAAAGACCTGGATACCAATCCACACACCCACCAAACCTGATTTTTGACAAAGAAGCAAAAAGTATAAAATGGTAAAAGAAAGCATATTCAACATATGGTGCTGGCATGACTGGATATCAACATGTAGAATAATGAAAATAGATCCACAAAACTCAAGTCCAAATGGATCAAAGACCTCAACATAAAGCCAACCATACTGAACCTCATAGAAGAGAAATTGGGAAGTACACTTGAATACATTGGCACAGGAGACCATTTTTTAATATAACACCAGTAGCACAGACACTGAGAGAAACAATTAATAAATAGGACTTCCTGAAACTGAAAAGCTTCTGGAAAGCAAAGGACATGGTCAAAAAGACAAAACAGCAGCCTACAGAATGGAAAAATCTTCACTAACCCCACATTGGACAGAGGGCTGATCTCCAAAATATACAAAAAACTCAAGAAATTGATCATCAAAAGAACAAATAATCCAATAAAAAATGGAGTGCATTCCTAAACAGAGAACTCTCAACAGATGAATCTACAATGGCTGGAAGACACTTAAGGAAATGCTCAACATCCTTAGCCATCAGGGAAATGCAAATCAAAACAGCTCCGAGATTCCATCTGACACCTGTAAGAATGGCCAAGATCAAAAACACTGATGACAATTTATGCTGAAGAGGAAATCAT